GGGGGGGGGGGGGGGGCAAGACAAAAAATTCTTCGGACCATATTAGTTAAAAAAAAAGGTTAAAAACATTGAAAAAAGAATCCGCAAAAAATTTCTCTCAATCATGTCTACCAAAAAGGGGTCAAAATTTCACAATTTTACCAAATTCTGCTTTTGGGGGTGGCCCCTTGCAAATTTTCTGGCCCTCTATCACTAAGGCTCGGACCAATTTGCCTGATGTACGAGCAAAAATTTTATGGTCATTTTTGTCGGGGGCCTCCAGGCTTGCAGGCCCCCTACCACTGAGCACCCAGACACCCCTCGGTTACGCCACTGGTTTTACAAGTCCATGTTTTACAAGTCCATGTTTTACAAGTTACACAGATTTGCGGATCTTATTAGTACAGCGGATTGCGGATTTATCTAAGTTTTGCTCAGATTGTGAATTTAGCTTGCAATTTAATTCGGATCCTGGATTGTGACTTCATAGTAGAGCTTTTAGAGGCTCAAAATTTAGACAAGACCATTGTCGGATCGGTGGATTTTGCTTCAAATTTTGGCGGATCGGCGGATTTGTATACCCCTATTCACCCCCATTATTTATGTCGGAAAAAAATTGTGTTTGTAGGGAAAATGCTGCCATTGGGCCCCCCTAAAACATGGGACCTACGACGCCCCTGAAGACGGCCCAGAAGTTAAGGTCGGAGATGTCGTTCTCGGATTCAGGAAGACAACGTTAAAAGATTAAATTGACCCATTGTGTGATAGAAAGTTTACTTAAAAGGAGAGAATGTTCATTAAAGCCGGAAACTCGCGACAACTAGAAGAGCGGTACATGCAGAGATTATATCCCATTGAAGTAAAAGACAGCAAACTTGAACATGAAGATACAAATGAGTTCCCAATCACCTTTGTTGAACGAGCAAATGCAGAAAACATGGACTGTGAAACTGTATGTACTGATATAGTTTAATTGTTGTCGTACGTTTAGTTATGTTAACAGATATTTCTGATCTGTCAAGGTGGGGAGTACTGTATGTATAAGTACTGTATGTATAAGACAGTCTCGCGCGATTCACGCGTGACGTGAAACACATGTTTTAAGAGAGTGTAGAGTTTGGATTTGAGAACAGAGCTTACAACGTTTATTTTTTGTAAATTTGTTTATTATTATTATTATTCAACTTTTTTAACGAGTGAAGATCTCATTTTACAACATCAACAAAAAGGGACCACACGATACTGACTGTGGAGAGATGACAGACGGTTGTTAGTGAGAAAAGACTTAGTGGTCTGGGCGTCTGAAAAGTTTTGTATTTTTCCACCTCTAGAATTGCATTTCGTGCGTTTTCTGAAACAGATTTTTAGATATACAGCGTTTAAATTATACTGTAGAATGTAGATAGAACTGAATCTTCAGTTAAGTACATTTAAGTTATGCAAATACCACAACTCAGTCACTTACTTGTTTAGCCTAGCCTTCCAACAACTCAAATCTATAGCGTCTGCATGCATGGATATGCTATCCACTTTTTAAAATTTAAGGCATTTACAACACCATGTTTAGCATTTTCATAGTTAAAAAGACATTGAATCATTTGAAGATAAAAAACAGGACATAAGATTCACAAAGCAAATTCCAGTTGCTAGAATATCAAATCTCCTTTCTAAATTCCATTTTTCTTCCAATGTTTAGCTTATATTTTAGAGGAAAGAGACATTGACTGGGGAGGGGGGATAGTTGAGTGGGGGCCACCATGGGGGCTGGGGGGCTTTGACCCCCCTCCAGTTATATAGTTAAAAAAGACCCTGTGGTAAAACGTGAGTAATTTACCAAATTTTGCCGGCCCGCTACAGCTTGACAAAAATAAGCGGTAACAATATACACACCACCACGAAAAGTCCGGGGCGCGGTTCAATAAGCACTATTGGCTGACTTGAGGAAGCCGATTACCGGTTTTCTATGACAAATTTTCACATGGCAAGTCTTATTTGCTAATTGCACGTGTTGCACGTGTGTAAATGGGGTTCTATAACAAACATAGTTGTAGGGAGGTGAGTCCGGGATTCAGACAAACCGAGGGTGGCTGGAAGTTTCCCGAACTCACCGAGCAAAGCGAGGTTCAGGACTCACCGAACCTGCAAGTATGTTTGGTTTTTATCACATGCCATTTCGGTAAAATACTAAAAAGTACTGAAGAATTTTATACGAATTTTACTTTTTAGTGGTATAATTTCGTGTTTGGAAAACGAACATTTTAGCCGCCAACATACTACGCAAACAAACAAACTTAGGCTTAAATTAAAGCTAAAAAAATTCTCGACAATATTCCCTTTTTCTTGAAATGAGAAAATGAACACATTCTGTGAAAACAATACCAAGATATAAATCTGCCCATGCCAAACAAATTTCGGCGGCCATCTTTCTTCTCTTCCACTTTGAATACAGAATATTTCATTTTCATCAAACAAAATAAAAAATAATAATTATAAAACAATTAAAAACAGTTAATTTATTTTTTATTTAAATCTTGGTCTGAAATTTGTTCAAATCGCTTCAAAATGGCCGCCGCAAAATATCGATCTCGAACCGACCTCCTAAACGTACGTCAGCAGGTGGGTTCGAGATTGAACGCACCTCCTCGTAGCCACTAGGAAAGCCGCTAATACGCTAGGTATGGGATAAGATATCAATCGGAACGCGAGTTTTGTTTCAAAAGCCTGTCACAAATCCTAACTGTTATTGCTTTTGTTTCCTGTACCTTTTGTATATCAAGTAATGTAAAGTAATGTAACAAATTCATTAATTAAACCAAACTGAACCAAACATATTTACTAACAATTTCCAAAATTGACGAAATGTTACAAAGGTAAAATGTTTTTACTATATCTGGTCGCTCTGCCAGTCACATGTTGAACTCGATAAAAGCGGAGCAGGGTCATCGCCAGGGCGGGGGGGGGGGGAGGGGGGGACACCCCATGGAAACATCTTGTCGAAATCCAGAGCATTCCTACGCCTTGAATAGACTTATTTGTATTGTATTAGTACAATATTTCTTCTTATTAACAATTTAGCTTGTTAGCAGTCTTGTTTTTCATTATAGATAAAAGAGTGCTCAATACTAAAAATATTTAGCAGAGCGAATTAATTTGTTATCTTAAAATGTTTCAATTTCTCGCTACTTTAAGTTTCATGTAACTATTTGTGGCAATCATCAGGCCTGATGATCATCACAAATAGTTACATGAAACTTAAAGTAGCGAGAAATTGAAACATTTTAAGATAACAAATTATATATATATATATATATATATATATATATATATATATATATATATATATATATATATATATATATATAAAATTTGAAAAATTAAGATGAAAATGTTCTAGAGTGTGTATTATATAATTTCCATGCCCAGCGAAGGTCGCGGGTTCAAGACCCAGCCGCGGCAGACAACATCTTTCTGCTTGCGCTGGGTATGGAAATTATATAATACACACTCTAGAACATTTTCATCTTAACATATTACAGAGTGTACAATTACACAACTAACATATATATACAATTACACAACTTAATATATACAATTACACAACATTTGTATATATAGTAGTTATTTAATTGTTTTCAGTTACGCAGGTGTAAAGTAACTATGTAGATAAGCTGTAATAAAGTCTTTATTATTATTATTATTATTATTATTGTCGGGAAAATCAAGGATTTTGTTGGCGATTTTTATATTGCTCGTCTAATCAAATTTGGTCTGCTCCCCCCTCCCGACGAAACAAATCTCGGATAATTTGTCGGCAAAAGTTAAACTTTTGTCGGCAAATACAATACCTCACTCCCACTCCATCCCACCCCCGCCTGCTTAAGCCACTACGCGATGGCCAAGAAGCGGAGTATAACTGTCTCTGTCCATCTTATCCATCCACCAGCGTTCATCCGGGTCTTCGTCCGTAGGTATGGGTAACAAGAACGCAACAGAGAGCATGATGGTAATGTGCCAGATGCAGTGAAGATAGTAATATTTATCTGGTTCTGTGATACACAAACGGAGCACCGCTGCTGTTGTAGCCAATGAAAAGCCGGGAATAATATTAAATATCCATCTAGTAAATAGAAATAACAGGGCGATAACATATTATAGTACATTCATAGGTCGAAGATTCGTTTAGTCGACATTTTTGAAATCAACAAGGTTAGGTTACTTATTGTAAACATGACAAAATTACTGCAATTTGATTGGTTAAGAGGCCTAGGAGTGCAATTTTTTTCTTGACAATAAAAATGGGAGTTTGGGTGATTGCTGAGTATCGAGGGTCATAGGTCGAGGGTCAAAAGTCGAGGTGGAAGGTCAAAAAGTGGAGGTCGAGGGTCGAAAGTTAAGGATCGAAAGTCGAAAGTACTAACTGATTTTTATCAATTTACCTTAGCCGCTTAGAATGGGTATTTTCTGGATGTCACATTCTTACTGGTTCTTAAACTTGCCGCGTTGCGTTACACAGGGACCTATTTATTTCATGCTGGTGCTCTGATAGATAAGTCCTACTCTAGCTCAAGCATATTTAGAATATTATATATAGTTTTTAGCGCTTTGCAAATGAATAAATTATTAGTATTATATATGACTATTGGCGGATTGTAACCCAATAGGTCTTTCGCACCGTGGTATTCGGCTAGCATTGCGCTTGTATACTAGTAGACCCATTTGCTCTGGCTAACTCTATTCTAACGCCTGTGGTAGTCTAGCCTTTACACCGTTAGCGATAGCCTAGCCGTACATAGTTACTCCTCTGCTCAATCCGTAATACGCGCCTCTATTGATTTCTAGACACTCTTCCTCCCGTTTCTGTGGTTTCTCCTCTTAATTTGCATCAATTTGCCTGCGAACTCCAGTCCCATCCGGATCGTTCGAAAGTTGATTATGTTCTCAGTGGGATTGCACACAGCTTTGATATTGGTTTTCTCCTCCAGTTTTCTGTAACCTCTGCACGAAAAAATAAAGCTTCAGCAACTGCCCATCCTGAGATCGGGGATGCGTACCAGCAGAACGAAGTCGCTTTGGGACGTGAAGCCGGTCCTTTGCGGTCCTTTCCGCTACCTAATTTGCACGTTAGCAGTTTTGGCGTGATCCCCAAGACTGATCAACCAGGAAAGTGACGTTTGATTTTGGATTTGTCGTCGCCACATGGGAGTATTGTTAATGATGCTATTGACCCCAAACAATTCTCTCTGCAGTATATAACATTCGACGGAGTCGTTGCCATGGTCACCAAATTAGGTCGGGAGGTACTCATGGCTACGTTTGACGTCCAAAGCGCATATCGCAACATAGCTGTACTGCCGTCTCAACGTCGTATGCTTGGCATGAAGTGGCGGGGAAAGTTATACGTAGATCTTGCTCTTCCGTTCGGTTTACGTTCAGCGCCATTCATTTTCAATTCCATTGCGGATGCGATAGAATGGATTTTGCATAATAACTACGCAATCGCCGACCTTATGCACTACCTGTTTAATTTTGGGAATCGAACTAGATTCCATTCTCCAAATTGCGCGTCTACCCAAGGTCAAGTTAGAAGTTCTCAAGCACCTCCTGAAAGAATGGCAACAGAAACGATGGTGCACACGTACCTGCGTAGCTAGAGTCACTGCTGGGGAAACTGCACCATGCATGTGGTTTGGCCTGGTTGTACCTTTTTGCGACGAATGATTAATCTTCTTTGCGTTTTTCGCCACCCGCTCCACCTCATCTGTCTTAACATGGAATTTCGATCAGATTTGCAGTGGCGGATCCAGTTCATTGAGGAGTGGTCTGAGTGGAATGGTACAAACGTTTTTCCTATTACCTGGACTCCTGCCATTATCCGATCTGGTGATTACATCGGATGCAGCGGGTTCCATTGGATATGGCGCCGTATACCATCAACAGTGGTTCAATCTTGTGTGGTCACCAGCACAAATGCCGTTGTCTATCGCCTACAAGGAATTTTTGTGGGGTATCCAATGGGCCAATCGACGCGTGTACTTTCAGTTAGATAATACTTCTGTAGTCAAATGTGTTTTACCGGAAGTAGTAACCAATTACGCATTCTGATTGGCGTAGAGCGAAAATGTCAACAAATGCATTGATTGGTCGAGAACGAAATTCCTTAAGGGTTTATTCATAAATCATAATGGTTCAACGTTAGACCTTCACAAAGTCCTTTTCAAATGACGTCACTTTATTTCGCGCGGTTTCGCTTGGGTTCCTCACTTTGCATCCCTGTCAGCTTTCCGGCTTGTAAAAAAATACGGAAAAAGTTCCGAGGCGGCTTGTAGCAAGTCTAGGTTCAACGTTGTAGTGTAATAAAGTGTAGACTTGAGTTGTACTGTCGAAAATAACTTGCACGAAGCACGAATCTTTATAACAGGGTGATTTTAGTTCGGTCCCGAATTATCTCACGACCATCTGGGACTCGATTCGTTCTGATAGTTCAATAAGATACATTAGTATTTTTGCACAAGTGAATATAACAAGGCATGCACTACTCCCTTTAATGTCTTATATATATTTTTTGTGCGATTTTTCTAATTGTATAGTTTATTATTGTGAAAAGTAAACTATTTGGGAGATCCTCACCAATTTTTGTTCAAAATTATTGTCTCTTCTATCAACTTATATGTCTCAATAAATAATTAAAATAAACGTAACTCAATCAATAATTAAACAAACGAAATCAATAAATAATTAAAATAAACGTAACTCGATAAATCATTAAAAATGGCGGCTCACTTTGTAACGCCCGCAAATTTGCCTGGATATGGTCCTGCGGTCCTGCGGAGGCAGTTTTAAACCAATTCATGCTAAAGGGATGTCAAATCAAGGGCGGATTTTCATATTTTTCTCTGAGGGGGTGTAAAAAATTCTGGGGTGGTGGTGATGATCTTGTGCAGGGGCGGATCCAGGGTTTTTGATGACGGGTTTACTAAGTTCACCCAACTAGTAAGGGGTCCGGGGGGGGGGCATGCCCCCCGGAAACAAATTAAAATTTGGGGCTCTGAAACAGCATTTCCTGCGTTCTGGCGTCACTTTTTAAATCAATTTAATGATTAGAAAATGCATGTTTTTAAGTGAATTTTTAACTAATACGCAGCTCAAACAATGAATTGAACCTTTTCCGAAGCGTATTAGCTAGTGCCTAGTGATAAAAATATAGGATCCGCTAATTGCTGACACATCGATTTAGATCTACATGCTTTCAATCCAACTCTAACGACGAACTGAAAACAAAACTGCAAGAGCGTGAAAGCTTCCCAACATTTCCTGATTTTCTTAATCGCCAAAGCAATTATCAGTGGGTCTAAATATGCTCGGTAGTCCATAATCAAATTTCAATAATAGATTAGACAACATCAATTTTATGAAACAGAATATTCTTTAAATCAGTTATATACATGGAAGGTTATAGATTTTCTTTCTTTGGAAAATCTGACAGGTTTATGTAAACCTGTCAAACCTGTCTGAGTCCGCCCCTGATGTGAATGTGCGAACGCGTGGTGCCGATGAGCACGTGAACTTATTTTTTTGTAAGTGTGTTTTACTTTTACGTTAATTTGCTGCAAAAAAGCGTATATAGAAGCATGTTGATTTTAATATTTCTATCTTACTTAACGGTAGTATAATTTAGTGCATTTAAATTTTGGCAGGGACAGGGGGCTGCACATTTTTGTTGGGGGGTACACAATTTCTCGGGGGGGGATTGGGAGGTGCGCCCCCCCAGAAAATCCGTCCTTGTGTCAAATATCATATTTAATGCTTTACTGAAATATTCCTAAAACAGTATTATACTACACTAGGAGGAGATATAATATACTGAAAAACTAAATAATATTTATAGTTATATACAAGAAAGACTCTGAAGAAAGAGTTCATAATCACTGTATGACACATATATTAGGCGGAATATAATAGCGTTATATGCTATTAACAACAACAATGGCAAAAGCAACGACAATAACAACTCTAAGACTACAAAACGAACATATAGTACAATACAAACGATACAAAACGATACTAATTAACTACATTAAGGTGACTTAATTGAAGGCATGGCAAGTGCTTTGAAACTTGGGGTTGATTGGCAAAGATTGTTAAATGGGATGTGACTCCAGGTAACGATTGTTCTTGGATAAAATGAAAACTTAATATACATTGACACACGACTGAATTTGTCGGTAAGGACATATATTAGGCAGCCTGGATGCTCTAGTCAAAGGACACACGTCATCAGGAAGACTGATTCCAACAAGGCCTTGATGGATCTTGTTGAACATAGTGGCTTGGTGTAGCAGTCGACGTTGTTGGAGATTGTCCCAACCCAGGTGGTCGATCATTGGAGAGACGTGACTAGCTCTGGAATAGTCATTAAAGACAAATCTTTCAGCTCTGCGTCGAACCATCTCGATCCTGTTGATGTTCCTCTTGGTGTAAGGGTTACACACTAACATGCCATCATCTATTTCCATAACCTTGTGCATTACTGTATAGACTATAGGTATTCTTGATTACCATGGGCAGGTCAATTCTTGCGTGTCCAGATATTCGGTTTCTAATTTAGGTATAAAGTATCTTTAGGTATAAACTCCGGGTTTTCTCAGAGACAAGTTGGGACTTTTTTCAAGTCCAGGTTCGACTTTCTTTCGAGTCAAGGTTTTCTTCCAGTCCGGGTTTTCTTCGAATCCGACCCCGGGTTGCCCTTCAATAAATAAATGTCCATGAACCAAATAAATTTAACTTTTGGTCGATGTTTTTCGAAAAAAATGTGGTCAAAAACGTTGATTGTTCGTTGCAATTCGAAATTTGGGCAAATGTATTACATTACGCATGGAATATGATATGATTGCAAAACTGTTTCCCTCTTCCCCGTCGCCAACATTTCCGGGAAAATTTTTTAGGTGCCTTTTCATTATCCAAAAGTGTCGCTCAAAGCTGGCCCCCCCCCCCAACCTATTGATGCTTCCTACACCCCTGGCAACAAGTTTTATACTCTATATTTTGGTGTTACTTTTACCACTTGGTCTTGGATGAGCTCCCATTTTCGTTAGCGATCAAAAACACAAAATAACATTGATCAAGAGTATTACATTATTTAATGGTGCAGGTGGCTGCATAATATGAGTAGTATTAATGACCATGAAATAAACTGGCCGCTTTCGAACTCACTTCAGCAAACGTGCACAAAGCTAAATTTGAAGCAAAAACCCACGGAGAAAAGCCGAAATAGAACCAGCTTCTGGAGTGTACTGTATGGTCAAGTTTCTATGTAACTGAAGCTCCCGAGTTTCAACTTGTCCAGGGATGGCAAAGACCCTTTATGAAAAGGAAAACTGCGAAAGCATCGCCATATATCTGGGATATTTATTGCATATGCGGTTGATGAAGCGATGTATATATTATTATGAATGTACTAGAAAATGACATGCATGCAGGAACCCTCGCCTTGCTGGCGGCTATTAAATGGTCTGGCCCACGTTCACAGAAGCTTACGATTGAAGCTGATAGCTGTGATCACTATCTAGAGGTGAAACTTATGAACTTGTCTGTTGGTAACAAGGAACAACAACAGCATCAGTAAAAGTGAGAGACTTGAGACCTAGTTCTCGCTTTGCTGTAAGGAAATATATAGAGATGGTAGACACTCCCACCTTGCTTAACACAGGCCACTCATGTAAAGAAAAAACATCCTTATTCCGAACAATGGGTTGGATTCAATTATTCCGCTACGTAATAAAACTGTCAGATTAAATGAACCTCCGTGAATGAACACAACATTGAAAGGTCTTATAAGGAAACGACAAAAAAGCACCACAGAAAAGCACCACAGAATTTAAAAGGCTGAGGAATCAAATCAACCGCCAAAGGACATAGTCAATAACCCTGAGCACAAATTAGCGGATTTGTTACCGCCATTAAATAATGACAATAGCCACTTTTTCCGTAAAAATAGGAACTTTAACGTGCCACTTCATAAACGAACATAATGTTCATAAAACATAACTCCAATAAGTTTTCTGAATAACTTATAGAAACTGTTTTTATACCATGAATATGATGGTTTTTAACCTCATTTAAATTATAGCACTAGAGAGTGTTTTATTAAGTCTGCGCATATGTGTATGTGAATGTGTATTTTCAAGAATTTTAGTCTAATCTTATTCATTTTTTTATTTTATTTATTTTATTTTACAAGTTTGCCATTGCAATAGATCTATACAGAGTACTATGGTTACAAATGACTGGAATTTCCACACAGAGATAGTTCTCCAATAACGGGGTTCCAAAAAAGAACAACTGATGGTATATCTAATTATTTTGAAATTAAAACAAACATAACAATTAAACACAAATACAAGAAGACAAAGCAAACGTATTGACGAACAAACGAACAAAAACTAAATTTAGCAACATGTTCGAGTTGATAAGTTCATTAGTGCATGGGCGAGTGGTGTGACATTTAATACAAACAGACTTAAATGGATCTTCAGGGTCATAAATTTGTTGGGTTAATTCTACGTAGTATTTCATTAGATTACATTTAAATGTAGTTAGGGATGTGGTGGTATTTCTTATGAAGCCGGGAAGCGTGTTCTATACATTAGCAGCTCTGATGTAAAAGCTGTTTTGAAAAGAAAGAGTTTTACTTTTGGTTACATGAAGTAGGATGCCGTTAGTTGAACTAGTATTCCTTGTTTCTCGTGTAGGGATCTTTATAGATATGTTATTGTCAGAGTTATTTATAGGGCATTTGTGAAGATACACCATATCTAAATACTCATGCCAGTAACATAGAGGGAGTATTCCGATGGTAGCCAATCGTTTCTTATACGGGATAGGTGTTTTGTACGGGAGCGAAAGAATAAATTTTGATGCACGTCGCTTTGGTGATACTTACGCCAAGATCTTTTACACAGGTTAAAGGTTTGACTGGGATGTCAACTAATGTGTATACTGGTTGATAGTAGGTTGGAGACAACGAGTAAATTGAAGTACTTCGCACTTGGATTTATTTAAATCCATCCTCCAGTCTTGACACCAATTCGTAATATTGTTAAGATCTGATTGTAGGATTACTCTGTCTTGGGGGTTACGAACAGCGCGATGACATTTAGTATCATCAGCAAACATTGACACGGCAGTACCTTGGGAGACGCTATCGGGAAAATCGTTTGCGTAGATTAGAAAGAGGATTGGTCCAAGAATTGATCCTTGGGGAACGCCGGATAGTACTGGGAGCGGCTGAGATGTAACACCATGTACAGTGACTCTTTGAAAACGCCCAGAAAGATAATTCTTGAACCAACGAAGAAGATGCCGGAGTTATGGAGTTTCACAAGTAAAAGGTCATGACTTACTTTGTCAAATGCTTTCGCGAAGTCGAGGTAAATCGTGTCAACTTGGCATCTTTTTTAAAGCATTTTATGAATGTTGTGAAGAACATGTAAAAGCTGGGAAGTAGTAGACTTGCCTCTTTGAAAACCATATTGTAACTCATTCAGTTTGCTGGAGATATGATCTATAAGTCTATTGTATATGCAACGTTCAAATACCTTCGAGACTAACGACAGAAGTGAAATTGGTCTATAACTGGAAACTTCATGAAGTGGACTTTTCTTTGGGATTGGACAAACATTCGACAACTTCAATTCTGACGGACGTTGACCAGACGATAAACTTGTGTTGAAAAGTTCACATAATGACGGAGCTATACTAGCCGCGCAGATTCTAGTAATACAGCTGCATGGGATGTTGTCAGGACCAGTTGCTTTCTCTTCGTCAAGATTTCGAAGTACATAACGAACTTTTCCTTCGGTTAGAGTAAGATCTGAGATGGTGGTTAGATCGATCGTGCCATCTTCAAAATCAACAGAGAAGAGTTGGTTGTGAGTATGGTCGGGAGTTTGAAACACCGAGTAGAAGTAGCGATTTAACATATCAGCAATAACAACTGGGTTGTCAGCAGTCGAAGACGTTGAATCTCGAATGGACCATGACATTTTAGCAGGGATGTTGGAGTGATTTGAGGTGGATTTAAATAGTGACCAGAACTTTTTGCTACTGGACTTTAACAAAGATGGAAGTTTTTGAAAAGACTCCGTACGTTTAGCTTGTATTAACGTTTTGGCTGATCTTCGAAGTTCACGGAACTTTTCCCAAAGTTTAGTCCGTTTTCTGCACTTATCTTTCTTCGAGAGAATACGTTTAACTTCACCGTCAATCCAGGGAGGTGAATTGCTCCTTTTGAACGATTTTAATGGAATATATTCAGTAGCAACTCTGAGAAAGAGACCTTTCCATCGCTCCCAATCGGTGTTGACGTCAGTTGACTGGTTAGAAGGAAAAGTAGTGCGATTGACTAGTGCATTTCGTAGACCGTCACAATCAGCAACTTTGAAATTGAATACAGTTCTCTTGTCATGCCCTGGCATTTTCAAATGAAGCATAAAATCGAAGAACATCAGACGATGGTCACTTGAAAGGTTCAGAGATTTTGCTGAAACGCATGATAAACTACCAATGTTTTCTGAAGTGTTTGTTAGGATAAGGTCTATACGATATTGTTTAGTCTAGTGGGATACATATACGTATACTTGGTGCAAAAAAAGTCGAATGTAAGTTCTCTAAACTCTGATGAACCTTCCAAGTTAAGTCTGGGAAATTAAAGTCACCAGTGATATTGTAGTGGGACGTATCATTCAGAAATGCTTTGAATAATTCAAGCCATTCATTTAAGTTACAATTCGGTGGTCGATAACAAACGGAAACAAGAGATTTTTTGGTGTTCATTTTTTTTTAAACAAAATACTTGTAAAAATTAGTTTATCTTTTTAATATCTTTGTAAACCTAATATATTTCAGCAGTGGAATTAGATATATTCTGGAGCTGTAAGTTTAGTGTCAAATAAACTATCAAACTAAGAAATGTTTGCTATTTTGCTGTCGTTATAATGCAAATTTTAAATTGGACCAATCAGTGTTCGCTATTCATGAAAATATATTATGAGATCAGTGATGACCACTCACAAGGGCGCTTATATAGATATTACAAAGATCTATATAAGCACCCTGTCACCCACCGAAGACCGAACCACGCACGGAAACCCACGGGTAAACAGCGGGGCGGAATTAGTACCCTCACCCCGGGCGTAATCCCGGAACGTCCGCGCAGTTTGCTCGGGGATAAAGTTTAATTATTAATTATTAAAAACTTCACCTTCGTGCACTTGGATAGAGTCTTCTGTATTTCACAGTTCTATAAACCTGTTAAAAAAGACAATTAGAAAATTAGTGTTTACCGGAACAAAAACTGACCTGCATTATAATACTGTATTCCCGTATTTATATAAAATCGATATTCTCCCTCTGGTATAGTATAATTTGTATATAGAGATTAAAATAATTATACTGCATAATAGTATATATTCTTCAAATCGGTTAATAAACCCGAACTGCATGATTTAGGCTACGTTTACACTATACCGGATAGCTTTCCGTAGCTGCGCGAAAAAGCACCTATCCGATACGGAATTTACAACTTTCAGAAGCTGAGCGAAACAACATCTCCCCGTTGCAATATGATTCCTGTGAAAACAGAGTTCCTAAAAGGTACGGGTAGCAGGGTAGGTGTTTTTTTTACGTTGCTACGGAAAGCTATCCGGAACAAGTGTAAAGTGCCGTAATCTTATATTGCGTATATACAAGGCATTTTTTAATACCATGGACTGGTGGGGCATTTGCCCCACTGGGCCTCTTCCTCTGCCCCACCACTGAAGAAAAAATAGCCTATTGCCCCAAAGCCAGGGCCCTAGGACCTGTAATTAGTAAATGAGTAACATTGAAAAGTTTAAAAAACAAAATTTGTTGGTGAGCATACTTAAACTTATGTTATGTTTGAATGTTTAGCATGCAATTTATTACAAATTTCACCATTAAAACTTTGTTTTGAGAAGCTGAGATTTTTTTAAGTGTGTTCTCAGAATGCGGGAAATGCTATTTCAGAGACCCAAATTTTAAAAATTTCCTGGGGGGACATGTCCCCAGCTTCAACCCCCCTAGGTAACTCGTGGCTGCGGTACTCCGATCACACCTTCGGCGATCGCATACTATGCTCGGGGAGGGCAAGGAAAATGGCAGTTTTGCCCCACCACTGAAGAATCCTTAAAAAATGCACTGCGTATATATCACACGACCACGCGTTGTTTAGTGTTTTCTGCGTTTGCCACAGTAAAAAAGTTAAATTAATGGGCCAATTGCGGAATTGCTAAGCATCATGGTAGTTTAGTTACACAGCAGAATTTTTCAATATGGCGCTTATATTTTTCGAATGAGGGAAGGTGCTAAACACATGAGAATCACTGACAGGCCAAACTTTTATCATTTTCGCTTTGCCTTTGATTAAAGTTTTTACTAAACCTGTACGGCTTGTTTCATATTTCTACTGCGTCTTGGGCTTCTACAAGCGAGTGTGGTTGAAATATAGAACATTGCCATTGTAGCAGTCAGGAACAAATTAATTTTTTGAATATTTCACGATATAAAGGTGAGTACTGCATTAAATTATTTTCGAGGTAAGGACAGGTTGTGACTTATCGTTTGCCTAAAAATTTCAATAATTGGTTTAATTCTAGCGTCTCGAAAGACAAAAATGTATGCACACTTGACCGTCGCAACTTCGCTTGTTTCACTTGCCACATTTATCCAAACAAACGGCAAACGAAACGACTCGAAATAATCGAGGTTGCTTTAAATTTGACTCGCGTAAATATGTTGTAGTTAAAAAACTCTAATAAGACACTTGAGCAGTGAATAATGAAATCTGCTGTGTTGGTGTAATGTACTCAGGTGAATAAGATGTTTGTGTGATGTTAGGTAACATCACACAAGCAGTGAATAATATTTAAAAGTACTTTTTAAATCTTTGAAAACCTTTGAAATGTGAAAGCTCGATATTTCAAACAGCAAGTGTTTCTATTTTTCTCGCCAAACAACCTCAATGTTTTGGTTTGTGAAAAGAACGTTTGATCAAACATCTGTTGTTTAGGGACGGTCAAGTGTGCAAACATTTTTGTCTCTCGAGTCGCTAGAATTAAATCGATCGTTGAATTTGTTAGGCAAGCAATAAGTTACAACGTGTTCCTTACCTCGAAAATAATTTAATGCAGTATATTCACTTTTATATTCTGAAATATTCACCGCTTCATTGGCTCTGTACGCCATGTTGAATATTTCAACCACACTCGCTCGTAGAAGCCCAAACGCAGTACAAATATGAAACAAGCCGTACAGATTTAGTAAAAACTCTGCTATATGTAAATTTAGCTCATTCATTACACGGTAAAAGAACGATGGAACAATGTGCACACGCGCGGAACGGCAAACATGACGTAATTACGGTCGTCTGATATCGGATAAAACACTCCTGGTTGGTATTATGGAGATTCAGAATTCAAGACGGCAACGCGTAAAGGATGGACAGGCCACTCATAAAATTACATGTAGTTTTACTTCTCATGCAAGAGATTCAAATGCTTATCTTAGGGTCCATTTACATGTCCCGCATTGTAGCAAGTCATATACCAAGAGTAAAAACTGAAGTAATAATAAAAATAATAATAATAATAATAATAACGATTTATTGGCAATACATCCACAGAGTGGCTCTTCACTTGCCAAAATATACAAATACAATTAAATTATATACAAATTCTACAAACTATATATACGATACTACTGCAATATAACCGTTAACGTGTTCGTTTTACATAAAAAAATACTATACTATTATTATATTACAAGTTAAAACAAAATATTTATAATTATGCAACTATATACAAATAATGGGATAATTTCAAAGTTTAACCAAGTCTTGACCGTTCTTTCAAGATTAAGAAATACTTGGCCTCTTTACAAAATACTCGGTAGTCCCTACAGTCCCTGATTTCTACAGGTAAATCGTTAAAAAAGATGTGCTGACTGGTCGTGTAATGTGTTCTTAATTAAAGGAATTTGAATTTGAGAGCTACTGCTCGATCTAAGAACTCGAGAATGTTCCACCACTTGCAGTTTTAGGTCATTTGGTTAGCTTCACTCGACCATTCTTGAATCTTGTGAACACTTGGCTGCATGCATATCAACTATACACAACATCTCGGAGATTAATTTTTTTCTGTGTTGGTGTAGTGTACTCAGGTGAATATGATATTTGTGGTGTTACTCTGAGTGTATATCCCTTGATATATATCTGCTATATATCGGAGGTTCGAATCCCACCGTGGGATTCCGAATCCCACGGAGGTTCGAATCCCACCGTGGCCGGGCATATTTTTCAAGCTCGCCCGGTGTGGATATACACTCAGAGTAACACCACAAATATCTTGGAGATTCTCGGGCTTGTAATGAGCGTAAAGGGTTGTGTCGTCGGCGTACTGATGACATTTCTCTTTCACGTAAGATGGAGGTCAGCGACATAAACGTTGACGATGAGTGGCCTTAATTGACTGAACATGCACAAGCCGGATGTTTCATCGTCAAGTTGGACAAATTGCCGTCTTCCAGTAAGATAATTTTACTGTCCATTTAAGATGGTCTTTCGAGAAGCCTAACTGACTAAGTTTGGTAAGGACAGTTTTGAATTTGACGGCGTCGAAAGCTTTCGAAAAATCAGCCAGGGCCATAAGTGTGACTTCACCACGCTTCATTGCAGAAGTACATCATCTCTGATACCAAGCAGCAAAATTGTAGTTGAATGGCCTTTTGGAGTCAATGTGCTCAACCAGTTAATGGTGTGTAAGCCTTTCAAACGCCTTTGAGAGAACTGGCAGTACTGATATAGGACTCATGATAGAGCTCGTATTAGCGACTTTTCAAGTATCAGGAAATGATGATACTGCTGTATAGGAGTAGATTATGTGGGTAAGTGGTCCAGTTGATCCAGCAATGTGCTCCGTGACAATCTTGAGATATTTAGCTGGTAGTTGGTCTGCTCCTGTAGATGTGTCGGATTGGATGCTTTTAAGTTCACACAGAACCTCTCTGAACGTAACTGGTCGTACATGAAATGTTGCATCATCACTAACGCGTGGTTGTAGTGTATTAACAAAACTAAGCAGGTCTCCTGAAGTGTCCATTTCGGCATTTTCCGTCGTGGGCTGGGCTGTACTTGCGAATAATTCGTTTAGTTCCTCGAAGTCAAGTCTCAGAGGTTTGGGGATGGTTTCAGGACACGATGTATAACACGCCATATTTCTTTTGGTTTGGAACTTGAAAAAGCCTTGTTGATGAAAGACTTCTTCGCTTCTTTGATTTTAATCTTTTTAATCGGTTACGAACATCACGGAAAGCTTGCCAGACATCAGTCGTATTGAGTGTGTGGGCTTCGCGGCGCAACAAATCTCTTTGGTTTTGAAGATCACGGATGTTATCATCTGTAACCATGGCGCAGGAGGGCCGGTAATCTTCGTACGTTTCGGAGGAGCGTGACGCTCAATACATTCAGCAACGAGTCTGTTATATACTTCCAGTTTCTCATCAGGATCTTCCAATTATTAGATGGAATGGGAATGATTCAAAGTCCTGAATAAATTCATTCTTCTTGAATTGACGTTCGATTCGAACGTATTTAAAATGCGGTTCAAAACGTTCTGTGCGAATGTTGAAGCAGGTGTAAGGTGCATCATAATCACTGACATTTGAGCACGACAGCACATCTGTGTGAGTTACACGCATGGGATTGTTCGATATGATGTGGTCAATGAGAGGAATGAAGAAGGAAGATAGCAAAAGATGTAGGGACGAAGAACTAGGAAGGAAGACCTTAAAAAAGAAGACCTTCAAATTTCAAGGAAGCCTGTTGTTCAACAGCAATGGATTCCTATAAAGATATCCGAAGGCCGACAAATCTATTGTTATTTTTCAACAAACATTAAAGGTAAATAATCTTAAACAATTTAGAACATTTTTAACAGCTATGATGCAGAACTTTAAATTGACTTAAATTGACTCTTTAGAGACATTTTTAAATATAACTTAGTGTTTCATCTCATCTTATTTGTAAACACAGATCCTTGTAGGATACCAGTCATTAAAATATCAATAACTGAACAAGTTAATATGCATGTTTAATTACAGGTAACACTATAATAATAATGTTGAAATGGGGTGTCAGGCGGGATACTTTGATACTGAAAAAGTTGAATTATTTCAAACTTGATATTTGAAACAAATTTGAATTATATAATAGTTTTGTTTGTGGAAGCACCACGTAAATTTATTACTGCAACTATTATATGTTTTATCGCCATGCAAACCTACAAAGAACTTAAATTTGAATTACTTGCAAACAAAATGCATCTGAGATGCAGCACATGTGATTAACAATGATAACATGATGGATAAGGGTCTATCATCTATGGTCTGTTATAATTTGCTTTTTATGCAAATAGTGAGCAAAAATTAAAGCAAAACTGTACAAGTTACATATATAGTACTATATCAGTACTATACACGAACTTTTATCGCTGCATAATTTTGCGAGTTTTCATCCAATTCAATCATATATATGCTCAAAATCTTCGCGGTAAGTTTCTCTTTACCATAACATTTGACCGAATAAGTTTCGAAACAATGCGACGGCAAAAAATGCAAAAATCCTGATTTTCGTAATAGAATCTATAATCTTTTTGCCCTGTTGTACCGCCATCTTGGATTTATCATGTAGGCCCCGCCTGCGCTAGGTATGCGTTAGCAATCTAGATCTCCTATATCTATGGAGTCGACCATGAATTTAAAATGGAGGATAGACAGATAGTATAGTACGGATATTAAATATTTCCACATTCATTTAACAGTTTAAATTAGGTTTTTGCTTATTACTACTGGCAGTGGCTACTTACACATTGAACGCAAATATAAACCAAAGCAGGTCCTGACAATATAAGATTGATCCAAAAATGATAGCTTCCACTAAATGTTTCGGTGACAGCAAACTGTAATATAATTGCAACAGCCAGAAATACAAGATGTTTAATTGGTGGTTCAATTCTAGTCATCGTCCAGATCGTGGCAACAATTGAGAGATCAGAAACGTAGTAATCGCTATAGTGAAGGCGTGAGTATCCTTTAAAACAATGAAACTCTGCTTCACACAAGTGATATATCTGTTAATTAATAACAAAATAAATAAATTAATGATGATCACAAAATCCTTAACTATAAATGGGATTAGCACAAAATATTTCTACTATAGACTACTATATTTGGATTTGCATGCGCAAGGACGTGGAGAAAAAGAGCGTTGAAGTGGCAAATTAAAATGCAACAGAGTTCCCTTGTCATCGACAGCAGGAAAGAGAATCTGAATTTTCCGCTCCGACCTCTACATGAACAATATGTCATGTGGAGGGATAAAACAAATTTTTAGGCCCGTTTAACTTGTCAATGGGTTCGGGTCCCTAACCTGTTTCATACAGTAGATGGGGATAGAGTGGGCACATCTGGCAAACAGCAGTTGCTAAGGGCAATGTTATACCACACAGGACAACTTTTAGCGATTGTGAACAATATATGCATGGAAATCGTTGTTGAAGCAAAATGAGGTTAGAGAGTTAAAGAGGGCGCAGGACGTGTTTTGACCTACTTCCCACAAAATCTTTCTGCGAGTCTGGCCTTCATTGCTGTAATTTATTTCAATTCATCAAAATAATCCCGCCTCACATCTCGGTCCTGGCAAAGCAGGGTCATATAAACACCCCCTTATTCAGCAAATTATGCATGCTGCCTTTGATCCCTTGGGGAGAGGCAGCACTTTCCTTGCTAACCTGCGATCAGGCCTATAAATAAATAAAATAGAGCCTGATACTCGGGTTATTTCCTTGCGATAGTAACTCCTAGTCATAAAATGTAAACAAAGTATTGTCATCGTTGCCCTGGACTTTTCTTCTTAAGGTGAGCGTAGCTCGAATGTAATGCCAGAAGAAACTTGAACATTATAATTTAGACATTGTGAATGCAAATTTCAAAGAGCACAGTAACAATAATAATGTACTACTTACCGAAGACATAATACAGGTGAGAACATAAATTATTGCCTCTGCATGAAAACGTCGTTTTAACGCAAGATATATCGCAGGCACAAAAGCTAAATTACTGGTTACTCGAAACCATCTGAACGCGAGAGGATCGTAGGGCTCTGACACTTCTACCGAAAGTTCTGTATCGTTCGAGATTCCTGGTGTATAGATTGTCAAATACCAAGGTCCACAGTCACCCGGCATACCGTAGATATTCCCCTGGTTAATGTTAAGTGTATTAGAATTATTGACCCACTTACAGTTCTGTTTAAGATTTGTAGCTGATAACTCTCCGACACACGCTATCATCGAGTTAAACAGTAAAATGGCTTTCAACCGTAAGAAAAACATTTCACAATGTCCAATATTCTTGCGGATTAAGATGATATGTAGAGGAGAAATGCCAGATATATTGAACACCGAGACTGTGCGACTTGTTGGATCCCAAACCAAGCGGTAGTAATGAACATCTCCTTCGATTAAATCTCGAATGTCTGAATTTTCATTTAAGATGTCATGTGGTAAATTGTCCGCAGTGTTTGGCATGCATGCTAAATGTTGATAAAGAAAAGTCAAACAATAGTTAAGTATACGTATGCTTCAAATTGCGTTGTAACTCGTTTTCCGTGCGCATACTCACTTTCGATCATGAGGTGTTTTACTAGTACATTAGGCCGTGGGTTGTTGTGCGAAAAAGTGCCTAGAAAAGCAATTTCGTGGCACCCCCCTGGGAAATAGATTTTCTGTGGTTCAATTCATAGAACCATAGATGCTTAATTACCACAAAAAGTTCCCAAGCAAAAAACTTGCCCAACACCGAGAAAATGGGTGATCAGTGATTATCCTCTATTAAATTGTATTACAGCAAGAAAATGTGAAATTTTGTATTCAAGTACAACAAAAATGACTTGCATCATCAGAAAGCTTACAAAAACTTACATACAAGACATTTAAACAGTTTTTTTTATATTTAAAATTTTTTTCGAGTTATACGCTGTCAAAAACGCGTTTTTGACCTAGTACCCAGTCCTTATTGCGACATTTTGGTCCAGTTTTCACATTTAAAACCGCAATAACTCAAAAACTATTTGAAAAATCAAAAAAATGTTTAAAAGTCTTATATGCGGTTTTTTGTACGTTTCCGATGATGCAAGTCATTTTTATTGTAATTGAATTATAAAATTTCCCATTTTTTGCTGTAATACAATTTAATAGAGGATAATCATTGATCACCCATTTTCTCGGTATTGCGCAACTTTTTGCTTGGGAACTTTTTTTTGGTAGTGATGTACCTATATGCCTTTCAAATAAACCCAAAACCAAGTATTTCCCACACGGGTGCCACGAAGCGAAATAATTTTGGCCAACAGTCCACGGCCTACATGCAGGATTTCTTGGCTATATACAGTAAACTACGTTCAGATAGACACTGCGATTTGAGGTTCCTGAAAGGGGCAGGGAGGTGGGAAGGGCGCCCGGTCGTTATTTAAGTAAATGACTGCCATGTAATAGCAGACTGAAAAAATACCTAATCGAGCAGGAAAAGGCATGATGCGTCTTCCTGGACTTTTGCGGAAAATTTTTAATGAAAAATTTCTCTGTCGCTTTTCATAAAGTATTTCACTCTGTCTTTTCAAGACCATTTTTGTGTCTGTTATTCCCGTGCACTCCAGGTAAAAAAATAGACAAATCCCAGTTCCCATTTTACCCCTTCAGGACCCTCCGATTTGTATGATCGATACCAGATCAACATTAATATTTAAAATAACAAGGACAACTTTATCTGCCAACATCATCAACTTAGAATATATTTGTCATTATATAATAATATGTGTAAACGTGCTCCTCATTCCATAGAAACATATACCTGTTAAGAACGCGAGAAAAATCAGATACTTCCATAGAGAAGAGGACCTTTGGCTTTCCAACATCATGTTGTACTCATAAGAAACCTAATATAGAGCAAGGTACACACGTAAAAATCTCACAACTTGTCAACAAGATGTGTTCGCAGCAGACTTGTAGCAAGCTTGTCAACAAGTTGTAACAATGCTGTTATTTTATCAAGTTGCTACAAGGTTGTCACTCACAACTTGTTGACAAAATGTTGAATTGCAGGACGATAACAGGTTGTTTGAACAACTTGTAACAAGTCTGTTGAGCTCAACAATCTTGTAGCAAGTTGTCAACAAGCCGTTGACAACTTGTCAACAAGCTGGGAACAAGCAGTGCGAACACATCCTGTTGACAAGTTGTTGGAACAGCATTGCTACAAGTCCACTGCAGGTTTGTTACAACCTGTGCGTTCTTACGTGTGTAGTTGGTATCACTTTCGTGTATGCATATAATTATAGTGCAGGTTAACAATCGTGGACAATACTGGATGGGGAAGACGAAAGCCTAATGAACGAAGTTATTTGAATTTGTTATTCTAACACTTCGGTCTATTTTAATAACCATTTGCGTTCTTGCTCTTGCTGGCCATGGCAGCCTGTTGGCGCCCCTCCTAGTAATTACTAGTTAGTGACCTCCCCCCCTAGTAATTACTAATTGTTGACCTAAAGGGGGATAAGTACCCATTCCCCTGGGGGTCTTCCCCTGAAAAACATTTGAAATCTAGAACGCTGGAAATCGTACAGGAATATAGAGCTCCTTCACTCCCCTGTATCACTAGTGTCAAAGGAGAGAGCTTTACCTACATTTACATGAAGCAAGGACATCCATGCAAATGATGGGAAGTCAAGAATTTTCGGGAAAATTTATAGCAAAATGTTTATATTCCTCCCGGAAAGGATCGCTCCGTTTTGTAGCCTGCGAGGTGGAAGAAATACCTGCCTCGGACGCAATACGTTTATCTGTTACAAACAATTAAAATGATTGAGTTGTTGTTAAGTGGGAATTGCTTTATTCATGGATATTTACATTGGTATCCGTTGTGCGCTGTTTGATGTTGTTCATTGATTAGAGGTTTCAATTATTAAGACACGGAGATTGTTTGCAATTAGCCGAAGAATATAACTTCGATGATTCGATCTATAGCATGGATTGGAAAGAACGCGAAAAAGCTAGAAAATTTGCATACACAAAAGTGCACTATACTTCCGGCGGACGTTTCATTTAGCCCCTAGACCTAGTAAAATCTCAGTCAATCCACATGTTCGTATTTTCACAGTACTATCCCAGTGATGCAATGCAGTCTTCGAAGTCTGATCCATTGAACTATATAGGTGATCTACCCGCAAACCTACAGAAAACGGCAAAAATACGACCCCATCTGTAGTCAGTTTAAGAGTTTGGCAGTCACGCAACCTTGGTTAGCTGCCCCTAATGCTTTCCCAGCATTATCGTGTTTTCTTTTTAAGTTAAAACATAGTTGGAACACTCATCAAACCTTTGTTTTGCTAGTAGAATGAAGAATACACAAATCATAGTGAAATCCCTTATCGCATTGACCTTGTAAGCCGAAACATAGCCATGCATACACGTTCGAACCACTGATCTAATAGATCAGTGGTTCAAACAAGTATATCTCGTTCTATACATAGTGGCGTCTAATAGACTTACTGTAGCCTCAATTACTGTTTACGCACAAAACAATAGAGACTCCGTAAATTTTTACACTTTCCTTCTGTACGTGTCGACGACTATACATTTAAGTTGATCATCTTCAGGAGAATGCCACCTATTTTCAAAAGCCGACGATGACCTAGCGTCATCTAATTTCCCAACGGGAAATTGTCAGTTAGTTCGCTTTTAACGATACGGTATTTACGTGGTGGCAATCTCCTGAAGATGATTTAAATGTATAGTCGAAAAGTAGAGAATGAAAATGTTAACAATAATCAATACACGGAGTGCCTATGTTTTGTGTGTAATGCAAAATATAGTGTTTAATCCCAGCGTTGTTAGTCAGTAAACACAACTGGAATATCAATAAATCAAATCTTTCAATTCACAAAATGGTTTTAATAAATAGCTACTCACATGTGTGGTGAAAGATAGTCTTGCCACAATTGTAGAAGAGTCTTTCTATCTCTGAGAAACACTTTAGCAGAACGATTGAGAGAGAGAGTCGAGCTAGTAACCTGATCAAGTGACAGTCTGCAAATCAAATGCAAAATCATGCAAGCGTGACGGGATATGATTACACTCTATGCAGTACGGTGCGATTTAAATAATCATGATCAGCTCAAATATATTCTGAATTTTTACACTAAAATGTGCCCCTAACTAATCAACACTTATCGTTGAAAGAAATAAACAAGTACATAGCCGCATTAGCAAAAATTCATAGTTTATATATAATTTTAGTGGAACCACTTGAAATTCAGCTTTAAAATCAACCACAGTTTATATGTGAATCAACTGATACTAGGGACCTTCAGCTAGCAGGACGGCGACGGCTATTAACACAATGAAATTTATGACAGTGTAGAAAGAAAATGCATAATTAAAGGTCCCATGGGAGTTTTAGACGTCGTCCTTGCTCTGTTTACACTGACAGTAAAACAAAGATTTTCACGTTTTGTATACAACGTCTGCCTTTCAAGCAGCGAGAAGTCGTCCTCGCCAAATTGGCTTAGTAGAAGTCTTCTCAACTATAAACATCTGTCTTAACCTTCTAAATTGCAATACATTCATACAACAGATAATACAAGACATGTTGATCTTAAAGTTACTTATTTGAACGAGTTTGTTTTGGCCGTCGTCGTCGCGTTGCCGTCACCTATTTGCTAAAGGTCCCTACTCACAAAGACGTGGCGGGGGAGGAGACGAGAGTGACAAGACCATGGTCAAGCTGCATGTAGGTAGGGATAAAACACGGAAACGGAATTCCGGTATTGCGGAACGGTAAGAATAGGGGATAAAACGCGGAAAAGGAGACAGAACGCAGAATTGCGGAAACGGGGATAAAACGCGAAAAAGAGGATAACACGCGGAAAAAGGGATAAAACGCGGGAAAAGAGATAGAACAGGATAAAATGCGGAATAAAAAGGGAAATTATTATAATAAACAGATCATTCGCCTGCAATAAGAATCTTGTATCATTTTAAGTGTTTTGAGAAAATAACATTAATAATAGTTAAAACTACATTTTTAAAACTTTGGCTAAAGTTACATAGAAATAGCATCAGGTTCTACTTTCCGGAATGATTGCAACAACGCTCCAACGGATTGCTAAAATATTACACAGTGTAACATCTTTAACTTCTTTAACTTCTAAAAGACTTTTCAATAGCAAAGAATGCATGGTCGACCAAATCCTTGTCGACCAAATCCAACGATGGAAACATTGCTACTGAAACGAGCTGCCGAAGACATTTGGAACGAGGGTAAGGCCCTGTTCACATGATCCCGGGATAAACAACTGCCCCGCGACAAGTCATTGACCCGGGGTACTGATATCTTCTGTTTACATGAACAAAACTAGCGCGGGTCATGCCTATAAATACATTACGCGGGAATCATAAAATATTCCCGCCAACGTGAAACGGTGAAATATTGCTAAATAAAAAACATTCTGATAAACGCAAGTCGTATTTTATGTTATGATATTTACAAATAGAACGTAGTTGATTATCAGCCGTAATAAAATGTGCTCAATTCATTGTTTCTGGTTGACCAGATCAAATTTTTTGAGTAGCATGCTACACTTCTTGGTTTCAAACATGATATTAGCGACAATTTTATTTTAATATTATTAGAATCATCACTTATAGATTTCTAATGGTATCTTCAATCAAATAACAAGTTTTTGTGGAGTCCAACGTGCTCTAAATGTAATTTTAGCCGCGATTTTGATCGTTTTACAAAAAATTTAATTATCCCGGGACAAAGTTGCCCCGGGGCAAAGTGTTCACATGAGGAAAAGTTGTCCCGGCTAGGCGAGTGTCCCTGTCTACAGAGGCGAGGCACTCGGGTCAATTCTTGTCCCGGGGCAAGTAAAATATAATGTGAACAGCACTATTCTTTTATTAAGGAGCCGAGACAATTTTTGTCCCGCGACAATTGCTTGCCCCGAGACATAACGCTGTCCCGGGTTCATGTGAACAGGGCCTAAGTTCGCCAGGGTTTAACGAACTTGAAACAGGGTATTGGAAAATGAGACACTGTCCGCCCCGCCACTGTCGATGCCTATATAAATGCGATCGAAGCAAAAAGTAACTAACTGATCTTTACTAAGACGTTTTCATTTGGAATTAGTGATTTTAAAAAGTAAAAGCATCATTCATTCTAAAGAACATGGAGGTCGTAAGGGGAGGATCATTAGAAATCCCGAGTGGGGCGGTAATAATTAAAAAAAAATCGTACAAAGAAAAAGACTAGAAAAAATCCTGCAGCCAATAACCCACAGAAAAAAAATCGTGCAAGCAAACAGCAACTTTTTGAGTTTGAATGTTTTATTTATGAAACTTTTAATTTTATTTTATCAGCTTTATTGGACAAAACAAATTATAGATTACAAGGTGAACGTCCAATGGGGATAGTGCAAACGGGAAAACGAGACCCATGCAAGGCACAACTCATTCCTTCAAAAACGATAATCATGAATTTTTCACTATACTACAACTCATCAGTGACAGTGCAGCGTTCAACAATCTGGATGGTGAAGAATACGCCGTTGGCATATTCTTTGTGGGACAGCAATGGAGCTTCATATATCCAGATAACATGAAGTGTATAGTGGGTGCTCAAACTGCCACAAGGGTTGCTAGTGAACGCCCATATCAGTCATATCCAGGAGCGTAGGAAGCAGGGGGACCGCGGGACCCCCAATATTTTATAAAGGAGTGCTGGAATAGTTTTCGACCCCCAAAACTGATTGAATTTTTTCAAAGACCGGCCAATTCATCCCGACTCTCGACTAACATTGACTCAAAAATCATAATGAAGGAATTCATTAAAGTGCCTAACGAAAGAGGTAGAGAAGGCTCTGAAATCCCATTTCCGACGATCTCGAGACTCCAAATTTTCAAAAATTTCGAACTCGGCAACAACCATGGTGGCGTCTCGTGGAATTAGCAATTTCCTGCGCCGCCGTGTCCATATCACTTTACACACAAAAACATTGTTTATTAATAGCAATATAAATACCTTCGATAATACTTTGTGGCACAAAGTTTCCAATTTCAAAGTTTCTTTTTTACAATTGAGCTGTCATCTATTGAAAAATACTTGAGTACAAAACAATATAATACAAGTATTAAAATAAAACACAAGTTAGCTGTTGGTGCTGTAGATTATGCTGATCTGAAAAATATAGACAAAATTTCTTTAAAACTGAAATGAAATTTAAAAAAAATCCTGCCCAAGAATTTTTTAGCCCCTCTCCCGGGATTTCTAATGGTCCGCCCCGAAGTTGTTTACAGCCACTGTCGGATGAGGTCATGTGCGCAAGCTCTACAGGTGTCCTGCTCCACAAAAAAGCCGCAAAACCATTGAAATAACGTATTGTTACAATTTGAATGCCCTAGCACTAAGCTGAACGCAAATATGCGTAAAATATTGACAAGGGTGCATATATTAGATATTGACTTATTAAGAAATTAAAATGTCTCTGTAAAGCGCACGATTTTTGCTCTTGGGAATTTAAAACAGCCTCTTAAACGGTTTCTTTGTGCATACAATTTACTTACGTCAAGCTTTGATGCACGTGCATGTGGGTTCAGCAGAGTGCTGAGGCATTCAAATTCTAACAATACATTTATTTCAATAGTTTTCGTTTTTTTTGGGACACTGTATAGTATCAGCAAGTATTTCGAGATCATTGGTATCAGCCTGTTGTCAAGTCCATTTTCCACTAGGCGAATTTGTTCACGCGAAGCAAAACACGAATGGTCTTGGTCAGCGAAAAAATTCGCCGCGAAAAAGTTATACTCGAACAAATTCGCCCAGTGGAAAATGGGCTTAAGACATTGTACAATGTGAGTGTGAAAATCATGATAGGTCATGAAATAGCTAAGTGCAATACAAGTCGCAAATTAACCCACAAAATTAGCAAACGTAAGTAGCAACTCCCAACGTATGCAGCAATCTAAGTTGCAATGTGAAATATAAAAAGGTGAGGAGATCATGTCCCTTATGAGCCACCGTTAGTTAAAATGAAATAAAATGCTGTATTCTTATTTATTCTATTGGACCATAAATTCATAGACTGACTTAATAATTTATATTTTATTAATAATTATTATTCATTTTGTATATTAAAGTAAGTTTCCGTGGTCAAAATATGTCCATCTCAAGTCGCTTATAATTTAAAACACCAACACGAGAAAAGTCTTTAATATATGCACGAGATAACGCGATTTATCGGGCCTATATTTGTACAACTATTAATTTTTTCTACTCTCGGTATATAAATCACGCAACGCATGGCCTTCATAAACTTAGCCTGCGTGCAGGCCCAAGGGAACTTGATAGTGGGCCTGCAACCATCACCCCATGTTTTCGATTTTCGCCGGCCGAACCGCCGGCTAAATTCCCATTGGCTAGCTGAGGCGATCGGTAATTAATTAACCTAGCCCATTGTGCAGGCCCAAGGGAACAGTGATTCATCACAAAGGCATAGACAAAGGCTCTCGATAAGCTTAAAATTTGAAAATTGATCACTTTTTTCGATTACAAATGGAACAAGAACAGACTGTTTATTGTTTACTGGAAGGAAGACATGTTTTTGCCGTTATGCCAATGGGGATTGCTTGTCGTGAGGTGTTGGAATAGCAACATTACGACTGGGGTAAACTATAGTAACCTTTACTTGAGTTTCATTAATTTCAAACAGACTTCAGTTGATACGTTATGTGTTCTCACTTCCTCAAGAAAATTATCTTTTGGTTGATGTTGAGATGCAGTTGCATGTAAGACCTGTAAGCCTATTCGAAACACTTTGCGATTTACAAGGCTTCGCAGAGAGAGCGAAACAGAAGGCGGTATTAAATTGCCGTTTGAAACGAAACGATCTGGACTCGGAACGCTCTCTTCTTTTGTAGAGTTCTTTACCATTTGTAGAGTTCTTTACCAAATGAAATAAATTTCGCACTTTCCGCCGCCAACAAGAATTGCACACACGATCTGATAAGTGAGACAATTTATTTATAACAATGCCAATGGCGACAGCGAAGCACACATAATATAAATCCTAATGTGGTCGCCCGACTTCCCTCCGATGATTTGAAGTTTGAGACTGGTTTTCTGTTGAAATTCGTCCCAATTTGCCTGTTCCGATTTTAGTTGAAAATGAGCACTTGCAAATTTGGCAATTACTGACTGCGTTGCTTGCTTTTTTTGAGTTAAAACGCAGCCATTTACACATTGTTTATTAGTGTTCTGTAATCTGAATAAGCAGAGAAAACCCCGCAACATTTTAATGCGAGTTTGTTTGTTAATATTTGGGTGCTGTCATTGGTTCTTTTTTGACAATTGACGCGCGAATGGGGCGTGTTATGAAAAGGGGCGTATTTCAAAATACCGGGCGATGGTTGCAGGCCCACTATCAAGTTCCCTTGGGCCTGCACGCAGGCTATCATAAACTATACAGTCAGATTTATGTCTCAAAATCCTGAATGTTTATGTCACATCGTCCAGACAGTTTTATGAATTAGTTTTAAAAAAACCCCAAATAATACGATTTTTTAATCTATACGTCCAGTTTTGATGTTGGACTCATTGCATTTCTGATTCCACAACTGATGAATACACTGCTTGCTAACTCTTCAATACATAATATCCTGGTCGTCTCTCATTTCATTTGGACAGTCATTTTGTTTTCCTGCATTGAACCACAGCTCAGGGGCGTCGGACCACTTTTTTAGTTGGGGGGCCTAAATGTCCTTGCCCCCCCCCCCACTTATTTTTAACAAGGGTCAATAATAAACCACAAAGTTAATTGATATTATTTCAGTTACGCGTGTAGAGAAATCAATTTGAAATTTATATGACATTTTGTTACATTTAGAACTCTGTAAATCTCCTTCTATAACGTGCAGGAAATGGCATCTCAGAGAATCTAGTTTTAAAATTTTTCCGGAACCCCCTAGAATATCACCCGAATCCGGCGGGCGATAAGTGTGCCCCTCCCCCCACTTTTAGAGCCGCTCCGACGCCCCTGCGACAGCTTATCCTCCTGCTGAAACTTCATGTAAGAATAAGGACACTGCGTATGTGTGACAAGGAAACATGACGACCACAATAGGTCCATAACAATATAATAACTGAAAACCACGGAATCCCCATTTAAAAAGTCTAATATATTTCACAATACCTAAAATTGTAGGCTATAAACGTTGAGTTCACTGTCTCGCCGGCGAGTTGACTCCTGGTTTATAACGAAATACAACACTGTACATTTCTCCATTAAGTCTTTTTGCTAGCCACTTGTTTTTTATAACGGCCATCTTGAGTGACTCACAGATGAATAGCGCGTCATAGTTTGTGTGAATCGTCCTGCAAGAGATTGGATGAACTAAATGTTTTTTTTTTTTTTTAAATTGAGGGCTTTCTCAAGTTGATCTTTTTATTTGTCCGCACGACTTTTACTATACATCTATCACACTGATAATCTCAGGGAAACTGATATTCACCTTCCCATTCCTTCTAGAATAACCAAATCAGCATCTGCGCATTTCTTTACAAGATCAGCATCAACACGCCTGATACAAGTGAATTTCAAAAACGCATTAATAAGTCATGAGGAGCATACAAAGAAAAATCAGTACATAAACTTTAACTTTGATTTTCTCGACTTAAGGCCGTTTTCCACTAGGCACAACGTACGTATTTTTTGAAAATTACTTCGCCAATGAACTTAATTTTTTTGAAGCAATTTAAAACATTCGCTGCTTGAGTGCGTGTTTTATCAGACATAAAGATACTCGGCTTCGCCTCATGTCACTATGGTAAGAAGTGCATGAGATAAACTATAACTGCGAAATATAACCAGGAATATTAAAGTTAACTCAAAAAGTGTTAATTCTCGGTTAACCATGAAATTTTAACATGAGGGTTTTTAGAGTGCATGTAAATGCTAACCACTTATACTGTATAATAGTGGACTAGCCTATATCTCCATGGCAACTAACTATTTTTAAACCACACTTATAGTCGCTCGACTCTGATCCCAAAGAATTTACTGTTTAAACCCAGAAGCATAAGTTGCCTTGAAATAATTAAAAATAACACGGTCTTACCTTAAATCTAAACACGGCGAAAACGTCCCAGATTCCATAATTACCAATCGTTTCTCCTCTACTGCCTGCCTATATATAAACAAATATTTAAGAAACCGATATTTTCCGCCAAAAGACCTTTTAATGTAGTTGGTTATTGTCTTTAGTGCAGTGAAACTTCTGTTTCTTTAAATTGGTATTAATATATACGATCATGCACAGATGAACTTACTTTATAACTGGACAAATTGCCGCCACTTTTTCTGTGATGATCTGCAGTTCACTGTAGGTCACATCGTTTAAGGCGGGACGAGAATTTGCAGCAAGTATCACCTGTTGTTGAAGAAAACGAACCAACTGTTGATTATTTTGGATCAAGCAACATGGATGAATCACGATTCACGAGTGAATTAAGGCCGATGTAAGATTTACCCGTTCCGGACGGATGATTATAGAGCCCCAGCGAGATATGGATATGACTTCATTATCGTCATTGTCATTGTCATTATTATTAGAAATAATAATAAATGGCTTGAGGCACCTATTTCTGGATCACTTATAGTAACATTTACCTAACTAGTAACAAATTTGGTCTGAACATTATCCCCCATCAACTAAATTCATACAATGTCAAACAACTATCCGCTGTGCTCTGAAGTCATCTCCTAATGAATCAATAACCCACCTCTGGAAATCGACCTGTAATCATACTAACACCCAATATGATCAAGTATACGTCGACAAAAGAAGTAATTAAGTCATTCCGTGAAATTCAAGAATATAAATTGGAAAATCAGTTAAAATGCCAAGGTTCATTCTTCTCCAGCATCGCAAAATTTTCACTACCCCAAGTAAATTCGCTACATAAACAATTCGCTGCCAACCCGCAAAAATCTTCAAAGATGAGGACTGTCCTCGTCCTCTGAATGCTCGTTTTGCCTTAAACCTGAATCTTTGTTACACATTGTTGCTGGCTGCAGTTCCTACCTTGATCGATTTACTTGGAGACACGACTCAATCCTAAATTTTATTGCTAATAACCTCCCATCAGAACATATTCAGACCATTTATGCTGACTAGCTTACCATTATTTTCTAATCCCTCTATTATGACTGGTGATGACTATCGTCCTGATCTACTAATTTTGACCAAAGACAATTGTCTGTATGTACTCGAACTAACTGTTGGATATGAGACTAACCTAAGGAATAATATACAGCGCAAACACTCAAAATATAAAGAGATGATAATAGAACAAAAGAAAAAATTCCATCCGGTAAAGTTCATTAATTTTTCAATCAGTGCACTCGGTGTTTTTGAAAAAGAATCTTCAGCTTTTATACAAATGTTGGAACATTT